GAATTTAGGGTAGCTTTGTTTATCAAGGTTATGCCCATATCTTTTTGTTTTTATTAATATTAGATAAATTATTGTAGTTTGCAGTGAGAATAAAGCTATGATATATGTTATTCACAATTTATATTGTGTTTATTAATGAGATAAAGAGATATTAAAGTTGTACCAAAAAACTTAGGAATAGGTTAGAGAGAAGGATTACAAATCAATAGATTTAGTTCTTCGATTTCAGCTATAGCCTGTTAGAGGAAAAAGAGGAAATTACACTTCAGGATGAGTTGCAAAAGTGAAAATTACAACTAGTTAGAAAACATATATAACATATTTACAGGCACATAATGACTTAGAGGTTATTTTAGGATGGATGATGAGTTATAGGTTGACAAATAAAACAGATAGTTGTAGCAAGAGATCAGACAGTATTATTAGATATTGACGTTAATAATGATTAGTAATGACGAAGTTTAAAAGATAGACATGTTACTGATGTTTTAGACCTATATAAAGAAGTGATAGGTGTAGTAAGCTATCAATAAATATTCATTCATATTCTACTTTTGATAGCGCAGAATATTATATAAATTCCCAAAATTTGTCGATCCAATATGAGTGTCATAAGAAGTGTAATTTCTCATGTCAAAAATACAAAAGTATTTAAACCCAAATACTATTTCTCACTATACTGAATAAAGTAAAATTGTATAGCACACTTTATATAGTGTAAAAGTAAATAAATTATTTTTAAAAATACTGTAGTTTGTCTTTATCTGGATTAAATTTATATGGTTATTTGAATTTATAAGAGGATAAGCTATGATTTTTTAATTATATTGTCATACATATGTAATTAAATAAAACAGAAAAATGCAAATTTATTTACTTATTTTACCATTACGTATATTTTGAACAGATATAGCATACACAGAACATTATGTACAAAACTTTCATTCACAATATGTAGCAATGTAACAGTTTAATTAACAGATCTCTATTTAAAACCTGGATAAATTAAATCAAAAATAAAATTATTTTCTATTTATCTACATCATCATCTGCAATTTCAAGTTATCATCTCATTAAACTTTTCTAAAAACCAAATACACTTTTTCTTTCTTATAATATAAAATTTCAAAAATGTAATTACGAATAAGATTTTTCTTGACAGAACAGTAGAAAAAATTACAAAACTGCTTGAAAACAGCAGAACTATACCAACCAAGTAAATACTACCAGAATCGATAGATAAGGTTTGAAGTGGTGTAAAAATATGCCACATCTTACCAGATTTGCAGATGCCAGACTTACACCCATCAAAAAACACTTATTCGAACTTCTCTTTTTTGTTTTTTCGCAGAAAAGACCGGAAAAAAAATTGCATGAAGATGCTTGGAAATGGTAAATCTATCTACTAACCCAAGGTTTATATAAGAAGGTCAGGACACGCGTGACCTACTTCTTGAGCCGCCATTTCGGGATTTTTTGAGTCGCATGTTTTAAGCAACTTGTACGAGCAGTCAGTTTTATATGACATTAATTAAACTAAAATTGCATAAATCCAGTGATTTACAGTCAAAAATATAATAATAATTTCGGATGATTATGCAACCCCAATTTTATGTAACGTTTTCATCAAATAGTTTAAAAGAAACAATCATCCATATCATTCTCTGTCGTGATTGAAATTAATTAAATAGGTGCTACAACTGATGCAATTACGTATATAGGCACTTCGTAAAGTGATGCAATAACATCAAAAAATTAAAGTATAATAAAGAATATAATAATATAATATAACAAATTTATAATTATTTTTTAAAGCACGATTAGTTATAAAATTAAGATGAAATTCAATAGTATTATTAATAAATGTTGTCAATGTAATGCTCATTTTATAATAACTAATAGATGTGTAGATATATTTTTAATTTATAAATATCTTTCAAAAAATTCCAAAAATAGAATTTT